AGTGTGATGGCCATTGGTGCTTGAATTTTATTGTATTGTGCAWATTTCCATACTTTTTACTTAATGATATATCTAAGATAGTTTGGTGGCTTTTACAACTTCAATACGCGGTTAGTCGCACTTGCAATTAATGTCTAGACAAGGCTTTGAGTTCATGAGTAAAAATGTATGTTGATTGACAAGTRAGTAAAGGCATTCTAGAATGGTTTCAAAGACAACAAAGACGTTCGTGCTGGCGAATTTAATTTGAGGCGATATCTGACATATCTAACGCCGGTGAACTAATTCATGGTCTAATCCCACAGCTAACTCTCCTAGCACGGTATCAAAGTGTTCGCAATGACACGAGTATCCTCTGGCGAGGATATCTCATTGATGTTTGGGTATCCACAAGTAGAGGGTTTATCCATRTGGGTCGATCCATTAGACTAGCAATAATTTTTGTAAATTTACAAAAGCTTTAGCGGAGAATTTTTTTTAATTTTGCCGTGCAGGAATTTTTTTTCGGCACTTCGGGCCGTGCAGGAAATTATCTTTTAAATCTTCCATCCCTCCTCCACCCTCAAAAGTCTAATGGCAGTTTGCTAGTAGTCAATTATGTGGCGATGGTCATTTGGTTGAATTGTAAAAATGAGAGAGGGGGATAAGGCGTCRTGGCCTGTTATCCCCCTTAGCTAAATGTGCGCGACACAAACTTTAAATGGTCTAAAATGTAAGATTAGGTTATGGATGTGCAGTGGGTGCCATGTTGTGTATTTGGTATATTAATTGTACGATCCCGATTGAAAGGTTATACTCAATCACGATTATCTAAGCCATAAACATCCCAGTAAATCGGCCAAGCAGTACAGCAGCCCCAATGGCAATGCTACCGACCATTTTAATGGTGGATGCAGTGCTTGTAATTTTGGGTTTTGTGTCGGTTGTAACACGAGGTCGGTTTGACGATTCTGTGGATGATGTGTTGGTAGTTTGGTTGGAAGGTGCTGTGGATGGTATTGAGGTACTTGGCACAGGAAAGTCAAGATTGCATTCATTGCTGCTGCAACAATGAATGTTGCAATTCAGAACTTCGCCATTTGTAGTTTCGTTCCTCTTATTGCAGTTGTCGTTGCAATCTTGAGCTGTGCTGCAGTTCCTTAGCATCTGAATTAGTGGTGTCGAGCCAATATTGTTTGTCAAGTTATAAAGAGCTATCAAGCAGGTATTGTAGCCGACATCACAGGTCTGGTTGATGGGGTTGCTGCAGTCCCTATGCGGAAGTAGTCCACTCACGTTGGAACACTGGTAACAGACGAGAGCTGATCCTAGTAGAATAGCAAAAATGTAACATGCATATGAAATTATGTGAATTGGTGATATCAAATGGTGAGTGATTCACTACAAAACGTTCGCATGAATTTTATTCCTTGGTAAGGATTTAATCCCCTTCACACTACTGGCAACAGACTTTTCATCATACCACTGTAACTACGTGTCAGCAAAGAATTAACAAAGAAAATGGTACGACAAACGGTGGTGATAACAAAAAAGAGACTGGGATCGAAATTTGCCCTTGAATCGAATAATTTGTTCAATTTTGATCAGTTATTTTTCTGAACGCAAATACAATTGATCATTTAAGATTCTAGAAATACCCAAAAATTGAGAGTAATTTTTCAGTGTAATTTTGTGATGTTGCCATATAAGTTCAATTATCATGGTTTTCAGTAAGGTTTTTATGTGCTGCTTTCTAATATTGGGTAATCGGACCCAGTTCTTTTTTTCGCTGTGGCATTTTAGAATTATTATTGTATTATTATTAAATAATAGTATTATATTAAATGATGAAACATTATCCTTCCTCCACGAGCAAGCTCGATAACGCCGATAAGGGGCGAGCCATTAGACGTTTGAGGAGAGGAGGTTTGTTTGCTTCAGACGCGCGCTTCCAATTTTTTTCTTCCTTTGTAATTTACAAGTTTTTCAAGATTTTGCCTTGCAGGAATTTTTTTTCTCAAAATCGACCTCCCCCCCTCCCCCCAAAAAAAGTCAAATGGATCACCCATAAGTGGCAAAGAACGCTCCATTTTCGAGACCTTATATAATGCAGTTTAACCACGAAAGCATGTGATATATATATTCTTTTATTCGGCAGAGAATCTATTCATAGTAATGCAAATATATGTAAAAAGAAGACAATTTATGCTTAGCTTGCACAAAAGAGAATTCAAAACTGGATGAGTATTAGAGTGAAAATGTCGGAATGACGTCAACCGGAACTGTCGCTCATGAATATTCTTCAACATTCAAGATTTGATGAGAAGTAGTGTATGGACTTTGCAAGCTGGATTTTTTTTTAAATTTGATTGGTTTCAAAGAATTTGACTTTCTAATATTAACATTTTTAAATACATACCCATATTATTCATTTACAACTTTTTTAATCTAATAACCTAACCCTATTTAGTTGTATGGGCATATTTTGATGTGAAAATGTATGAAAAGTTGATATTTATATTTCTATATTCAAGATTCTGTTCAAATACACAAAATCGAAACACGCGAGTGTCATATATATACAGGCAGTGTATGTAGAATGAAATAGAACAAAACACCAACTTGAAGCTATAATAACACTGTTTATTGGACGTTTCGGCACTTCGGCCTTCTTCAGCAACATGAGTGTGTGTTTATAATTGGTTGAGTCCGCAGTTTAGTAGCTAGAATCGCATTATTTCCTTTGCAGGCAAGTAAATAAACATCTGATTTCTTCAGAACAAAGTTTTTGTTGAGCTTTATGTTCAATGTAAGCTGTTACTATAATATAAATATTAAAGTCTAATGTTTTTATTAGCTAGCATGTGTCAATATAACATTTTTTGAGTCGGAAACATTTTTCGAGCCGCAAAAATGCTAGAGCTCCTCTACAGCCTAGAATTTGACTTAAACTACTTGAAAAGTAGATTTGTATAATCGATATATATTGCATTTTAAAACGGAAAAAAACGGTAATTTGATTATTATCTTGTATTTAATAGATTTCTCATCGATACTAGCCGGGTAAAGACTTTCTCGATCATGTATCGCATACGCCACACCAATTCAATCGCAGAATGAATCGTTCATTTTGCGCTTTTAATGTCATTCTTTGTTCATACCTGGAATAAAATATTTGTACTTACCGAACGGGATCAAATAACAAACGAAGAGGAGGGTAATAGGAAGAAGACTTGAAAGCGACATAGTTTGTCTTTTTGTCTGGTTGATCAAACTCTCCATACTATTACGCACACAAGAGTTCTGCTTTGGGGGCCAATATCACATGCGCCAGTGACTATCCAAAGCTCATGTGGCGTGGAATAGTGACAAAGAACAAAGTCAAAACATGCTGTATCAACACTTTGTCCATCTTTTCGTCAATATCCAGCTAACGTGTCACACTTTCATGAAATCATACAAAACTGACTATGAATCATAATGTGGTTGCTAGGTATCTATCGTAGATTAACAAAATATAATATGTTCTCAATGTGTAGTCGTTACGACCCAGATGCTGTACATACAAGATGACAAGTCGGCAACATTCATCTTTTATTACTAAGCTTTCGAAACACGCAAAACATGCATTCAATTATATACGATTGGTTTTTATWKTGCTTTTTGTTACAATTGTATCAATACAAAAGGGATTGCGCAATATTTATCAGGAGGGGGARGGGAGGGTTGAGAAATGAACCAAAAAATCACATAAGTTTATTCCTTACCCCTCCCCTCCCCGTGAATTATATGTTTATCATTCGTGAATAAAGAGCTGTCGCAAATCGTGCACGCTTTTCTTGAGAMGKTTTCCACTTCAATAAGTATTTGGCCAAAAATTGCTTCTCACCCCTCCCCCCTCCTCTCCTGATAAATATTGCGCGGCCCCTAAGGCTATGTCTATGTGAGTCGGGGGTAAGGGTTCCTGTGATTGTTTGAAATCCCAAGGGAAAAGGTCTATGTACTTGGAACCCACTAGAAAATATATCGACAACCATCAAGAAGTCAGTAGCCGATGACTGTAGTTTAACCATGTTTTTGTACTATTCGGAAAGTTTAGGAAACTTGGGGGTGCTTTCCGGAATTATTCGTGCTTGTTWTATTTGCTTTGTTATACTCTTCCATAAACAATGGAACCTTAATCTCACAGTCAAGTCGCTGTTTGAAACTGTTTGAGTCGCAATTAATGAAAAAATATTTTYGCTTACCGGTACACTATAGAGAAAACGCAGGAAAACCATGAAATAAAACCAAACCAAATACCAACAAATAGCAGAGATTTAGAGACAATTTGTMAGTAATCAATAAACCAGAACGCAATAAAGATGAATAATTAAAATTCGATAAAAATGGTCTCATGTGGATTCATCTTGATTGCGTTTTGGTTCATTGATACTGACAAATTGTCCCTAATTATAGTTGTTATAGTTGCTGATTTAGTATTTAGTTTGATTTTATTTCATGGTTTTCCTGTGTTTGCTCTAATACAGAGATAGAGACATATAAAAAGATCAGAGAACGTCATTCTCTTRACTCGTTGATGCACAAGGATCCAKAACAACGTTGATTTTAATAGCTAAATGCAGAAATTTAGCCATGCTGGGRAAATATAAAGACTGAAGTCTTTGAAGACATCTACAATCGTTGACAAAAAAACTTGGACCATAGAATGATTTGTCTCCACCTTACAATTTTTCTCCATTATTTTTTCACAGTTCTCCTCATTAATCAAAAAATACTTTATCGTAATGTATTGATTATTTCATTTCAAACTTATCTAATAATTGTAGTCCTAATTGACAACATTTGAGTCAAAACCYATCAAAAAGCACACAGATATGGGGGGGCCACTGCTAATATCTAACGTTTGGAGCCTTTCTAGCAAAACGTGCAAAGTCGAAGGTATGGGGGGTGGTGATCAAGATCTCTACGAATAGCTAGAAAGCTATAACCACTGGACAACTGCAATATGTCAGTACAGATTTCAGTTCCATATCAAACTTATGGGGGACAAAAACTGTCCGTGATCACTCAAGCTTAACCTGACAGTTCGTATTAAGTGCCAAAGTTGAAGAAAAAAGGCCAGATTTCAAGGCTTTTTGAAGAAATGCAATGATATTAAAAACAATCCTAAAAACCTACCATCGAATTTAAGAAATAAAATATATGTGCGACCTTTCTGTGTATTTTTCGTGAGAAAATTCGAAAATCCAATCATGTATTATGTATTTTCGCAGAGTTGTAGTTAAGCATTAAAATAGTATGGCGATCCATGTTTTCACCACAGTTCGCTCCAAAAAACTGGGCCTCGCGCATAACTTATTCTGTTGATGAAAAACCTACCATCGGATTTAAGAAATGAAATATATATGCGACCTTTCTGTGTATTTTTTGTGAGGAAATTTGAAAATCCAATCATGTATTTTCGCCTTTGAAGAGTTGCTTCGCATCCGTTTTCGTTTCGGGATTCCTGTCCCGACACGAAAACGAATGCGAAGAAGACTACCTCTGTAGCATTCTGTAGGCACAAACCACAAAAAAACAAACATAAATTTTGAAAAAAAAAATGATTGCTTTCTTATCATATGTTGAAAATGTAGTCGGCAAAACTTCACAGTGCCGTATACAACTCTATGTTTGAGAGTTTTGTGTTAAGTCAATATTGAAAAATTTCCGTAACGCAGAGCTACAATTACTGAAAATGCGTTGAAATCAACGAAAACAAAGAGCATGAAGAGCTACAATTGTAGTCTATTATATTAAAACTTCAGTGAACTGTGATATTATATGTACTTTCTAGAGGTGACTTTGTTATAGTATCTAATGAGGTCGAACAACGACAAAATATTAATTAACTCCATTGTATTATATTTCATGAAATAAATAAATAAATTACATGCACATATACATGCATATGTACATGCATGCATGCATGAGCGAACCAGTCACACTAATCTAAGCAAATGTCCGCCGACGTATGAAATAAGTTTGATATGGGTCTCAGTTCTTGTTAAGGCAGTCTAGTCACGTGACTTGCCCTAGGCTAAAACCCCGTTCCTATCCCTAACCGCAAGTTAAACCTTAAGCCGAACCCTAGCCCTAATCCTAGCCCTATCTCTAACCCTATCCAAACATCAACTCTAGCCATAACCTTCTCGACCACTAGTCAAAACTATGGGTCACGTGATCCTTAGTTTTGGGATTAACCCCCTTTCAACAGTGTTGGGTCTTAGCTTGTTTTGGATGGTTTTGTACTATGGTAACATGCTCAATGACAAGGCATTGCATTTAGGTGGTCAGAGGGGCTAAATTATCGATCTATGGGTTCTATTTAAAATCAGGAAATTCGCTGGAATGGTCCAAGGATTGTAGGCTTCTGTACCGAGTGAGAAGGAAATCCAAAGACAGCGGCACCGTGACGATAMGATGTCAGCAGGTTACTAGTGCGAAACATTACAAACTAAGACACAAATGAAGCTTCGGTGYATTTTATTGCAATTCGTGAAAGAAACAATATATGCATAATGTTCTAATGTCAGAAAAGGCTTACTAGTTTTAAACATATACACCTATAGCGTTTGCCTAGATCAGTGACTGGAAAACCTGTAGTTGCAGAAGCATGCAAGATATTGTTTGTATGTGACGTAGTGCCGTCTACCATGGCCAACAAGCATCCTATCCTCCCTTGGTCTCGTGATTTCTTGCATGTTATGGTGATCCAGTGGTATGTAGTGAAAGGGTACCAAAACAAACATTTTGACTGTTTCAATTTAACTCTACTGTGGGCTGTATATACTACATAGGGCGGGTGATGGTGTTTGATAGACATTGAAGACTTATCAATACTGACTGATTTGACCACTATGCTTTGCAATCAGTGACCCCACCAGTACAACTAGAAGGAGCATCAGCCCATTCGCTTTGGGGATGCCAGATRCAGCCGTCACCTTGATGCTATCAGTAGTACTCGTCATGGTAGTTACCGTAGAAGGGACAGATGTYGTCGGTGCAGCATCATGATTGCAAAAACTTCCAGAGCAGCAGGAAACATTGCAGTCACTAACTGGACCAAGTGATTGCAGACTTCCACAGAGGGCCGCTGGATTGCAATACGCGAAACCAGAACAGTTTCGTAATTCGTATGATATACCCCCCAGTTTGAGTGATAAACGAATRCATTGGTTTTGCTTCATTCCTGGAATCATATCGTCACCACATGTTTGTTTTGATGGATTGGAGCAGGATCCCTGCGCTGTTACCAACCCGGGAATATTTGGTAGGTTTGAACATGCGTAGCAGGATAGGTCAGAACCTTTTGAAAAGTAATGCAAGAGAAGTTAGCACACAGCACAGCACAGCACAGCACAGCACAGCACAGCACAGCACAGCACAGCATAGCTACACAGCTACTTCTAGAGCGGATTTCGATTTTCATATTTTTTCATATTTTTGTGACTACTAGATCTAATTTAAACAGGAAATATTCTAGATTGCATAGCATACCTGATGGCCCGGTGGGTGCAGGAGGCAATGTGGGTAATGGTCCACCACTATTACAGAGATCTCCTTCACAGCAACCCATTTCACAACTTGTAATATGACCTGTAGAGTTTAAYGATTTGTTGACTGCATTACATGTCAAATCGCGGAAWACAGTGGAACACATCACGGATGAGGTACAGTTCCGGGTCTCRGTCCAAATTTCAGCAAAACCYGGGCCAGCTGGATTGGYCATTCTCATGTTCATCCTTAAAATGCAAAGAAAATGTATCAGAGTGACTTTCGGCGATCGCGAAAAACAAAAATGACTACCAATATAGTTGTGCTACGTTGACAAAGAAATTTGTGGGACTTCAAATGTGCAGTACTTAAGAAGTGACATGTGTGTGTTATATACAAAATTATTACTCAACAAAAACTTTTCCACTGCTCTCATTGGTTGTAAGTCGACCACGTGATGCGATAGTGCTCACCGAGTAGGGCTACTATTCAGAGCACTGAGCCCAACGCTTCAGAAAATTTTCTTCTTGTTTAATAAAAAACAATACAGCTGTTGAAATCTCGGGCATTTTTCTGCCGTGATAGTTGCCCTTGGAAACTCGATGTTCATCAATTAAATCACTATGTTCAAAGTTCGCAGTTTGGCTGCAATTGCCGTTCTCCTAATTATTCAGAAAAAAAGCCATGATACTGCAGCTTTACCTCATGGTCATACACCGGTCAGCAGGTATATTCAGTCCAGGTACAGGAGGACACGTGACTTCCGTATGATTGGGGAAACAATCATGGGTTTCAATAACTCCCGGAATAGTTGTATTTCTACACATACTGGCGTAACATCTCAATGCATGACCTATAATGATAAAAAAAGTACTTGTTTCTTTTTCTACTTGTATATATAGAATATTACATGGGCCYGCGGAGATGTGGATTTTATCTWCGAGTGCATGTTCAATAAGCCTTTTTCCAGACTCACTCGCGAAGAGAACAATAGAAAGCACGAAAAAATGTTGACATTACAGTAGCTCTAGAAATTTGAATCTTCACCGATTCTAGGGTTAGCCTGAGCAAGAGTTTGAACCTTCTGGGAATACAAAATTGGAGAAAATGCAAATTTATAGGACTACTGTAACATTTTGTCGTGCTTTCTTTTGTTTTKGGTMAGGTCTCTGYGCATGAGAGACTGTTGTCAACTAAAGCAGCGGTTGCTCGCTTTGAACGGGAAAAGGCGTATTGCCCATATGTTTTGTTTATTGTAATTTTATCCATAAGACAAGAAATAGGACAGTTTTGTAAGGAGTGTCCATGGTAACGTGTTATATCACTTGTGAAAGACGTCATTTGTTTGCGATAAACATTTCCTTGTATTTCATTGAGAGGTATATGATAAAATGTTTTATCATATATTATCTATGAAATATAGAGATCTTTTCAACACTCGATGATAAAATCCGTATCTCCGCGTACCCATGTAATATCCTATATTTATTATTAGGACGGATTTACGGGAAAATTAAGTTAATAAGTTTACAGAATTTGTACACTATATGTAATGAATATACTGTATTCAATTTTCAGAAAAAATTCCTTTTACGAAGTTTGCGTAAGTTACATGTGTGTGTGTGTTTTTGTTGTTGTTTTTTTTGTTGTTGKTTTTTTTTATGTGCTACCATTATGAAGCGTTGAGTTGGCTCACACTCCTAAATTTTCAATTCTGAAGCCAAGAGTCTGCATAAGCTAATGCTTTTGTTATATCTGTTATCGTATGAGACAGCTTCTGCTTCTGTTTATGTCTTAATGAGATGTTCGGTTCTACACTACCGACACCCCGCGGAATATATTTCATGATCCAGAAAATCCACATTTAATTAAAAAAACTAGACACTTCTAAGCCGTTATTATGCAATATCATTTGATGTTGTTGTATTGCACCATGTTGCTGTCGTAACTCGTTGGATGGATTTCGATTAGCTATGAAATATAAATAAATGATTCAAAACGTTGTTATTGAGTTCTGAGTGAGCCGTCACGCCTCGAATGATGTTTAGAATAGAAGCCGATAATTATAATCTATTAATATAAATGTTGCTCTTTTCTGTTACGTAATGTACTCTTGTTAAAGGTTTAAAAACCAAAATATTAAGAAGTACTCAATTTTCTACTTAATTGGAAACTCTTGATCTAGGATCAGGTTCAAGTCAGTCCTTATGTTTATTAAATCCAAGACCCAAAAGCTCATATAAAAATACTAACAATGTAAATTTGCATGACACTAGAGCCCAAAAAATAAACAAACATATGATGATTCAGGACTTCATCACGAAATCTGTAAGCTGTAAAGCTAAAGAGTTTGCAACTTTTAAAAAGTTTTATTTTAGCGAGATGTAAAATGGTAAATATATGTGCTAAATAATGAACCAACGCTAGTTATAATTGTGCGCTCCGTGCAAACCGCGTACAACAAATAAAAATCGCGGCTCCACATTTAAGCTATAGACAGGTTGATATAATGATATATACGGGCTTCAAATTAACCAAGAAGCAGTTTTTTGAGAATGGCAAACAAGCTGTGTATATGGAACTGTTGCCAACGTTACGTTTTTGACCGTAAACTGAACCAATATTCATACCGCCATACTACCTTCCTCGTAAATACACATAGTTGACTTTTGCTATCTCTTTTCACCTAGTGAAGCCTGAATTGTGTGTAAAATATGAAGAAAAATTAGATAAAAATCGTGAGATTTCAGATTATTTTCATAAGTCTTTGATATTCACAGATCACTTGCATTACAGATTACACCTGMATCTGTTACTGAATAAAAGAATGATCTAAAAGTATATATTACAATGGTTTTATGACTAACACATTGTATAATAGATCGCTAAAGGGTTGAAGACTAATGTTATCCCACGAAAACAGGAACAATTTGTTTTTAGAAAAAAAGCTTACATTACACAAAATTAATCAACGAATCGCATATACACATCTTTTCTTTGCTAAACAAGTTACTCAACTGTCCGAGCAAAGTCAAGAAGGTCGTTTGACAAACACCGTTTGTGCATTCCAAATATCCACAATCTTCTACTATGATAAATATTCTTCTTACCAAAATGGAGAAAGCAAAGGAATATTCCTACTCGATGAAGGAGGCTTTCGGACGACATTGCAAGTTCGTTGTTTACACAGGTATGAGTCTTCAGAGTCTTCTAGTAATCTGTCAACTTAAAATTCTGAATGACTTAGCACTAGGGGTGGGACGGCTACCAGGCCACTTGTACGCTAGGACAGCTGGGTGGAATGTAAACTGTACCAAGTGGGTGAATATGGGAGTRGAGCCGCTACGTATCGCGACAATCATTTCACTTTCTTCTTCACTTCAAGGCAAATGTATACTTCTATATCATGACTCTTGACAATAACGCGTGTATGCCTTGGCGATAGTAGCACGATATTCACGCGACACTAGSCAAGTGGAATGACTAAATCTACTARTTTTTTCATCGTTTGTGTGATTACCGTAAACACCCGAAAATATGAACCTAATGGATTAAGAACCTCTTGGCAGAAATTTGCCATTTTAATAACCCCTTAAATWAGAACATCTTTAGCCAAATATTATCAAGCAGGTTCTTAAAATATGAGTTAGAGCTAAGTTACAGGATAAACAAACCACAAGTTACTGACACAATTTAGAGGTGTGTGTGTAAAAGAATTAAAAGATGATTTACACAAAATGCCCAACATAATGTAGGAGTACAAACACTTTATATCCTATATAGCTATAGCAGCATTTAGTGTTGAACAAAGTTATGTAGCACTGGTAAAGCAATAAAGACATTCAACCTTTTAGAGAATAGTGCTTCAGACTACTGTAGCAATTAAGAACCTAATTAAGAACCTGTTTTGCCAAAATTACCAACAACTAACCCTTAAAACAAGAACCTTTTTTGCTAGACTTTCAAAAAACAAGGTTCTTATTTTCAGGTGTTTACTGTATTTGGTCGATCCCAGAAACGTGACAGAACCTGATAGTATCTACCCGCACAAAATCCCCGCACAACTTAATTTGCGCTCGAAAATTGATGCTACGTTTGTGTATGATAGCACAGTGACTAGTACAGTGAAATTAGAAACATGGAAATTTGCGTACCGAACATTAATATACACCTAAATTCTACCTTTGTATCGTAAAGAATATATTGCTAACATTTGTACTTGAAGAAACGAATTTCTTTTATGCATACCTATGTTCATATATCCAAACATCTTATAGATTCAAACCACTGCGCAATCAACAGGTGTACCTCAGTCAAGTGCTGTAAAAACTATRTATTTCCATATGTTTTTCAATCGTACTTCCGTCTTATACTTGTCACAGCGGCTGCAGAGAGTAGAGGGAGAGGCGGGATTGAGGGTATATCAGTTCAGCTGCTATTTTATGGTAATCAGCTTATTTTTATTCAAAAACGGCTGACGAATATGAAATAATCATGTCTAAGTAATCGTTTCGAGACCGCTATYTTAAAATGTAAGTAGCCCCATCAATACAATGAAAACAACCAGAAGCGCATTAGCTGTAAGGACGTCGGAAACTTTGTTGCAAAGATTTCCAAAACAACACGAAACATCACAGCTTTCATACGAGCCAAGCTCGGGCTTGATCAGTTTGTCACATATGAATTCCTTATTGCAAGCTATGCCATTACTGCAGTTGCGTAGTTCGTATTGGCCATCACTCGCTTTGACTGTAACACGAACACAGCGATCTTGCTCTAGTCCCGGGATGAGTTCATTTGCACACGATTGCTKGCTTGGACTGGAACATGATGCAGTACTGTCTGTAGTCACATTAGGAATAGTTGAGCATGCGTAGCACGATAGGCCAGCACCTAAAAGACAGTGTGACAGTGGCAATGTACAAAACATTTTAGTTTTTTTTAGTTGTGTAAAGAAGATCAGTTTAACACCGTAAAAAAGTATGGGAAATAACTTACTGACGTTTCGGATGTTAATCCTTCGTCTTCTTTACACAACTGTTTCTTTAGAAACACCGACGCAGCTCACACTAGTTTACCGCTAGTTCCCACCATTTTAGTTTTTTTAGTTTTCTTTTTTTCACTTATAATCATGATATCATAATCATAAAGGACTTTTGGAGAAGAAGCTTAGCAAGCGTTAGGATTATAGATTTTCTTGTCAGTAAGCTTGGTTTGTTTTAGTGGCCCATTTCACTACAAAATGAGTCGAGGGCATTATGCTGTGATAGTTGACAACGGAAACTGAATGTTTCGAAAAACAAACAGTCGTCCAAGAACGCACTTCGATGGTGATTATGCATATCAAACAATTGCCTCAGAGAAAAATTCATTCGTTTGCCAAACTTTTGCTGACCATATATGGTAATCTTACCTTATTAGGAAGTACGTTAGAAAGTTTTTTTCAAGTTTTTTCCACCTTTTATTGCTTTAAAATGGCTAAAACTTACAGAATTTGCAGAGAAATCGCTTTTCAACATGTCGGCCATTATAATTTTGTCCTAGTCCCCTCCCATCCTTGGAAATAAGGAATCCCACAAAAGACATGGGGAGCAAGGATGGCCGAGCGGTTAAAACGCCGGTCTATCACCGCTGTGGTCCTGGTTCGATTCCCGGTCCGGGACTATATGTGATTTGAGTTTGTAGGCTGGTTCTCTTCCTTGCTCCGAGGGTTTTTCTCCAGGCCCACTGGTTTTCCTCCCTCAGTCAGAAACTAGCTGTGAGGAGTGTCGTGTAGTAAAATAATGAATGTTGAGGTAGTGAGTGTGAGTGAATATATAGAGGGCCACAAGTTTACTAGTCTAGAGACTATTACGTGCTACCCTCTCAAAATAAAAGACTTTATTTAGACACAGGTAGCCCGCGCGAATGTTGATATGAAGTTTTGATGAACATCCAGCTTCCGCGGACAACTATCACAAAGTAATGCCCTTTTATGACAGGGTCCCGCACTGCGTATTATATTTAGTACCTGAGGGTCCAGTAGGTCGAGGAGCCAATGTAGGCATCGGTCCACCACTATTGCAAAGATCCCCCTCACAACAGCCAAATTCACAGTCCACAAGAAAACCTGTTGAGTTGGCAAGTTTACATGTGTAGTCAAGCATAGCTGTGTTACACGTCAATGAAGTAGTGCAGTTGCGAATGTCGGTAAGAACATCAGTGAATCCTCCTTGTTTATTAGCCATTTTCATTTTGGTCCTTGAAAAACGATGAAAATTGGATTATTTAAGTTAACTTTCAACAGCAATAGTGTATTATTT